GTGCTCAGGTAAGGCAGGGGTACACGGCTACCAACCCGCGCGGGGCCCGGCCGGGTAAGGCCGGGGTACACGGCTACCAACCCGTGCGGGGCCCGGTCGGGGTACACGGCTACCAACCACCCGGGGCCCGGCCGGGTAAGGTCGGAGTCACGGCTACCAACCCGCCCGGGGCCCGGCCGGGTAAGGCCGGAGTCACGGCTACCAACCACTCGGGGCCCGGCCGGGTAAGGCCGGGGTACACGGCTAGCAAACCGCCCGGGGCCCGGCCGGGGTACACGGCTACCAACCCGCCCGGGGCCCGGCCGGGTAAGGCCAGGGTCGCGGTTCCCATCCCAGGCGGAGTTCGATCGGGTAAGGCCGGGGTACACGGCTACCAACCCACACGGGCCAAGGCCAAGGCCCGACCGGACACTTTTTCCCCGGTACAACTTGTAAATATTATACATGTACAATAAATCTGTAAATACTGTACATAGCGTCTGTCTTCTCTGTGAAAGTGGAAAATTCGCTGCTAATAATCAGCGAGCTATTACTGGATCAAGTTTACTTTGAAATTGTCTTTTTTTTTCTCTTGTGGCGCCATCCGAGGTAATGGTACATTTAGATATACATTGTGATACACTGTAGTTCACACCATACGATTGATTGTGATCTCTATGAGTTAATCGTTTATTTGTGATCCTACAGGACTCTGAGTGTGAAGAGCACCAAACTGTCCAACGTAGAGCTCTACAACTGCGAACTGCTGGACGGGTTGGGCTTTACGCGCTGCCTGGGCAGCAACATCACCGTCACGGTCCTGTCCCTGGGCAGCATAGGCATGGAGGCGCTATCACTCGACCAAAACCGCTGCCCGAGCCTGCGGGAACTGCGCCTCCTGGCGGACTTTCGGTGCACTTCACTGCACCTGTCGTGCCCGACGCTGAGAAGGTTGTGTGCGGACTGTGACGTCATGTTGCCCACGTTACAGATTGTCTCGGTGGTGGCGAGGCATGTAGACAGGCTGCACCTGGCCAACGTGCCGGGGCTTCAGAGTCTAACTGTACAGTGCGACCGCGTAGACCTTGTGGAAATCAACACGACGGGAAACGTCAACGTCTGCCTCGAGAACTGCGCCGTGCAGGCGGTGGAAGAGTTGGGGACGCTGAGGCTACTGGACTGCCAGGTGCAGGCGCTGGTGCTGAGCGCCCCCTTGGTGCGGCAGTTGGTACTGCAGCGGTGCATGGTGACGGACTACAGCCTGTGCATGGCGCTGCGCGGCTGCCCGAACATCCAGCGCCTGCAGCTGCAGAAGTGCAGCTCGCTGACGCGCGTCTCCATCTGCAGGTCGCTGCTGCAGTACCTGCACCTGCTGGACTGCAGGGGCATCCTGCAGGTGGAGCTGACGGACTGTCCCAAGCTGCTGGCCCTGGACATCGGCCAGTGTCCGAACGTTAGACTCTTCGTGCAGGGATCAGAGACAACCCCAAACAAATACAGTGCTGAGATGGTCTGGACAGGGCCGCCTGGAAAGAAGGCGAAAGTGGGAGAAAGGACCAAACCTGTCAGCATCTAGAGTTGTTACTGGCAGGTGGTATTGGAACAATGCCGAACCCAAAGGAACCACATAAATGAACCTTTGGTAGCTTATAATGAATACTAGATGAATGTGTCAAGGGTATTTTTTTTTAATTTTCAGGAAAACCCAGTGAAAGTACATTGCATTGCAGAGTAGCCAACAGAAAAAAAGTTCATGGACATATGATTTCACACAGGATAGAAACCTTTATTTTATGATAGGCCAGTATTTCTAGACAGTTCTTGAGCCGTTACCTTGGAATGTACTGGTGCTATAGACAGCAAGGATGTCTGTCAAGAATTAACTTTCGTAAGTTTGTACCATGTATTTATTTCAAAGGCTAAAATGTAACACTTATCTTATTTTTTTCCTGAAAGATACAATCCTCATGGAGGAGAAGAAAGAGGAATATTTCACGAACTAGGGCACTGGTAGAAATATGCTGAACAGAGATTAGTCAATTTAACCATTAGTAGACGACACTGCATTCATACTAGCCTTAACTTCTGTGGTACTATGGCTGGACACAATCTTTTGTTATATTGCTGAAATTATAAAGTGTCATACAATACACTAAGTAAAAATTGACAAATAGTAGCCAAAAAGGAAAGTCAAATGGGAATATGGCCATTATCTACATCTCAAAAAACTCATTAAAGAATTTTGAAAGAAATATTCTTTTGAAACTTTGTTCTGACAACCTTTCTGTGAATCATGGTGTATGAGGAGGGACATCATTGCAGGTTGGCAAATACTAGCACACATCATACAGCACACACACACACACACTGACATACACACATCATACAGGCACACAGACATACACACATCATACAGCACACATACACGCACTGACATATATACACATCATACAGCACACATACACACACTGACATACACACATCATACAGGCACACACACTCTGACATACACACACACACACACCGACACACGCATCACACATGCATGGACTGACATGCGCATACAAACACATCAAACAGGCACACACACACACACTGACATACACACATCATACAGGCACACACGCACACTGACATAAACTGAAACGCACACATTGACATGCACACACACACACTGACACACACACACAAACATCACGCACTGAAAAAAGCACACCAGGGAACAGTTCTGCACAGGCTATTCCATTTAATAGGGACTACATGCCATAAGATACAAGAGTAGACCTATCTTCTATCAGCAGCTGATGCTACCTCCCAGGTCCGGTACATCACAACAGCCTGTGACCATTATCCTTGCCTAACAGCTGACTACATGTACTACAGGATCAGGTCTTGGATACACATGCTGGGTGCTCCAACAAAGATCACCTCACAATTTACCTATGGTCGGACAATGTATTACCAGGATATTATCATCATAATCCTGGGGACAGTTTCCTTGCAAAATAGCCACCATTTTAAGGAGGGATTTCGGTTTGTCAAACACCTTGCTATATGCCACCATTCCATGATACATCCAGTCTGTATCTTACCCTACAGAAGCTTCCCTACGCAAGCTGCTCTAAGTATATCTGCTGCTAGAAGCCACAACTAGATGATGACTTGTGCCTCCCCTCCATCCTGAACACCCTTTTTGTCTTTCAGCAGACAATTCTGTTTCACTGAAAAATTGACAATTTTACACATTTTACAATCACGAATAGCTTGGCCAATGAGGTCTTGGTCAGAAATTTTTGAACTGATACTAAAAAAAACATCTTTCATGTGAACAGAGATGATCAGCATGGGATGGGCACAGGATAGCCATACATAATGCTGTTTATCTGCAAAAAACAAACATAAAAAGCTTATATATATAAGTTTACATTCAATCAAATCATCATCACACAAAACATACTCTCTCCATTTAATCATATCTCTAAGATAACCTACATCAAAACCATCTCGTAAATCAAAAAGCATTTAAAGTATGAAGAGATCAACATGATATCAAACACAAATTACTCCATATTCATACAATAAGTTGTGAACACACATTCATAAGGATACGAGCTCACAACATACAGCATAGTAAGCACTAAGGGATCTGCTCAGCAGCTGCTGTACTTGGAATTAAATTTTAGATCACTGTAACCACAGTTACCCTTATGTGGACAAGGTTTGGTTTTATATGCCCACAAATACAAAATGTAGGTACATAAAAATAATGAATCAGTAGCTGAAGGACAATGACATATAATGTGGGACAAGAGACTGTGACAAGATCATGTTCAGACATACATTTTGTATAGTACATGTGGAGTACCGGTCTACCATGTCAATGTTTTTCAGAGGCATATGTTAAAAATGAACAGCTTGGTAGGTACATGTAGAGGGAAACGTTCTGTTGTTTTCAGCTCCACAGATGCCACACCAGCCAGTCGTCCTAGTTTACGCCAGGTTCACCTTAACCTTCAGCCTGCTAAGGCAGCCCTTTGGCACCAACATTTGTACTGGTTACCAGATTGGGCAGCAGGGAGAAGGTTAAGTTGGATGGATGAGACAGGACAGGCCGACACTTTGATGAACTTGACATGGTTGTTTCCAGCACAAAACAGATCCAACCAAACATGAGGACCTGGATCCCAGGTGACTGCCATATGAGAACAGAATTGCACAGCTGGCACAGCAATGATTAACATAATGCAATATGCATCACGTCTGAAGCAGCAGGGTTCATCTTCACACTATATATAGCAGGTAAAACAGCAAGGAGCCCTATAATCAATGTAGATTACAAACAGTGCCTTTTTATGTAGTACATAAGAGACCAGAATGGTCAGCAAATCTCCACGAGAATGCAACATTACTGGCCAGTGTCATGTATAACAAATTGTCCATGGAACTGCCATGTAGAATAGGATGATCAGAGTAAATTGGGAACATTGCTGTGTAGAGACGGTCGTCAAGATTAGACAGGATATCATTGGGAACTAACACAACAGCAAAGTAGTGTACATACATGAAGAACAGGATGCAGCTTTGTACAACAGCTGGTGCATAGAACAGGAAATGATAGTAAAACACAGAACTGTTACACTTCAATATTCAGGACCCCTGACAGGGCCTGAGACATCAAGGCAACAGATACTCGATGACAAAAACTGTCAGTGTTTGGTCATCCATGCACAATTCACGGTATTCTTTGCCGTACCTCCCGCTTGTCTCAGTTCTTGGAACTTCCCTGAAGTTGGTAGCTTGGGTCGCAACCGAATTAGGACTGTCCATTCCTGATACCCAGCTTTCAAGATCCACATTTCAACCTTTGCAAATTGCACATCAAATCACTTGGTTGTGGGCATTCTTCTGTCCTTTAATGTGTCATACAAAACATGCTGATGGGAGGTTTGTCAGTTGTTTCTTTTCTGGATTTGCTAGTACGTCAACTGTGAACATGCATACATGTAACTGAAGATAAAAGCATCCTGTGCTGTTCTGCAAACTACTTGGACTCCAGGCTGAGATCTGAGTAATAGGTAGGATTCTCTTTAGTTACATGCAACAGGCAGAGAATGACAACACCATAATGTCACTGGCTTCGGCACACAGCTTCGTACATTGTACATGTATATCCACCTGTACACTAGACTCACCCCTACACCAGACACACCCACCACAGATTGTGTACATACAGGACTAGTCGTTTACACACAGGGCTAGTAACATTATCTTACAGGAAACTCTACAGGGGGATCTTTCCTTTGTACAGTGAATTGCAATTTCCAGGCAGCAAGCACTATTAAATGTCAGCCCAGCGGGAACCATGTACATTGGGGGAAAATTCCATCACATTCCACCAAGAAAGTCTACAGCTTTCTTTTAGAAACCATCTCAATTGAACAAACTATAGTGCTGAAAAATCTTTCATGACTTGGTCCAGTACCTCTCTGGCTGCACCTACAAGTTTCTTTCGGAGAAAAAAAACTTTTTTTTTGGTCTTGATAAAGACAGTACCATTTAGTAGGTCTTTCTACAAGGTTCCTAAATGTTACTCTTGAGCCCTGGGCTACAATACCCTTGGTTTAAAGCTTGTTCACAAGAATGGCATCAGCAAAAAAACTGGGCTGGCAATTCCGTCCCTGCTGTCTGATGGAAACAGTTAAATTTCACCAACTGTTGAACGACACATCCACAGATCCACCTGTCTGAAAGCATATAGGAAGTCCTGAACCTCCTACAGAAGACTGCACCTGTTCCAGACTGTAGTAACACTGGTGTGACGTTTGCATTATTTACAGCAAGCCAAGCATATCATTTCTAATTTACAGTGAACAATTCTGCCATATACAGAGAAGCAGGAAGAAGTTTACAGGTTCTAGAGGATCCAAGTGTTTCTCAGACACATGAAAGAGACTCCTCAGTTATTCAGTAGGATTGAAGATAGTACAAGGGAAAACCATCCATGTACATGTAGTGTTGGCAGTAGTCAGACCTAGTTGTAAAGCTCTGTTCCTGTTTCCCACTGCAGACCAACAGTTTAGGGGTTGGTTGGGTTGACTTAGAGTGGAGTAACTCTGTAGAGGTTATGAGACAACAGGTTCTATGCCACAGGGAATGCTGTAACTGTTGTGCAGTCTCCTTTACCCTGGGCGCACGGCCGGCTACTGACCACTGGATCATCTTGTCAAGTGAATCTACATGTTTCTATGTCAGACATGTTTTCAGGTGTTCCACGAATGTTGCTTTGAGGCTACCGAATCCTACTGTGTTCCAAACTATGCTCTATACCTAATCTAAAACAGAACAAAAGCACAAAATGATCCAGAGGGTACGTGTGGCTATCCCGCGTCCACTGCCTACAGAGACGATGGTGCTCAGATATGGCGATGCCTTGGGTGACTCTGGGTTGCAAACAACCTGCTTTACCTTAGCTTAGCCTTCTTTTCTTGCCAAACACAAAGTGAAAGCTGTAAGACAATGTTAACATCCATACATCAGTACAAACCTTGTGGAACCAAGGCGGGCGGAAATTATTTTGATGCAAGGTTTTACAAGCCAAGAAACACCAGAGAGTCCTTTGGGTCCTCAGCTGAATTACCATTTGTGAAACAGTTACACGTTTCTGAATCATGTATATGGTGAAACGAAGAAAAAAGCACAATTTCTCATTCACGTCACTGCACATAAATAATCACAAAGATATCATCTCTTGGAACACTACCGATGCCGGAAGTCTACATCATACACAGTCGTCCCAGGCATTTTTTGTACAGACTTTTCCAAAGCCTACCTTTTCTCTCAAGTTGTGATGAACATTTAAGGATATACTGTACAAAGCTAAAGTACTCTTACCAGATCCTTTTCTACCCTCCCAATTATCATCAGATTCTAATTATTTACTCTAGAGGACAACTACAGAAGTATCCTCACAATGTGACCATCATGCCGTTCCCTGTATGTCTGTGACATACAGCATGTCTGCAGAACGTACTGCACCTGTGCAAAACCTGGATTTTTCAAGGTTCTCGTTGGATGTTTGGTCAACACTGCATCAGAATCTTTTCTGACAGGACAATTGAAAGCTATTGACAGGATGTCATCCTTAAATATGCGAAGATGACCTTAAACATTGTACCGACGTGCTATGCACAAAACCTTAAGGGTTTCGCAACAGGCACAGTATGTTCTGCCAGTGTGCTATAACAGACAGACATAGAATAGCATGATGGGTGTTCTAACGGGATGGTCCCAGGGCCCATCCAGCAGAATTACAGACGTGCACATTTGGACTTGAACATGAAGGTAAAATTGGTCTGACCAACACGTTCAATATCAATGGCAGGAACGGCTGTTTTTCTGTAAAATATCACAACCGATTCTTTTTTTACACATCCAACCAGTGTTCTAGCCAGCATGAAATGTTTTTCCCTGTCATCTCAATTTTGTTTGACCGTCCGAGACACTACATTCTTCATTTTGTGGGGCAAATTTTGCTGGTAGATTAAGCTCAACTTAATGACATTTCTTTCCATATCTTTACATGCCAATTTTGGTCCGTCAAAGATGTCAAATTGGACAAAATTTGTGTCTGCCACGAGCAGCAAAACTCTGTCCAACGATGGAAAGACAGCCGCTGGCTAGAACACTGTCTCCAACTGCTGGAAGAGCTGGACTGGTGACCACCCAAGTCCTAACTGATTAGGACAGCTACACGAATCACCAGCAGCCAAGCAAGCACTCACCTGAAGCTGGCAACATAAAAAACAAAAAAATCATAGGTTCCATTTCTTGATATAATACCAACATCATCAAAACATAGGTGGAAAAATTTGACCCATTAATTTCTACAGGAGCAAATACAAGCTATATTTTTTTTAAGATTATAAGTGATGGTTGTTGATCACAGTGTAGTGTACTGCATGGTAGAGTTGAGCACAGGGGTACTGTGTAGGTATGGTGATTCCACATGCTCCAGCTGCGGCTGCAGCTGAACAGGTGCATGCACCTGGCAGGTGTCACCAGGAGTCTTCACCGTTGGCATTCTGGAAAGGAGCAGAAATATTGATCGGGATACACAAGGGACTGTAAACATAGAAGTGTGCTTCTATGGTACACTACTTTGTTTTGTCTCGGCAGAAGCTGTCTTCATACTAAGAATTTTGAAATTGAAGGAGAATTTTCAAGCAGGCTGTGACAGAACCACCACTGACAAGACAGCCTTATTGTTATAACATTAGGCCACACCAAGTAAATTTTATGGATGACGTCCGCGCGCGCTTTGATTTTGGCCTGTTCCTAGAAAAAAAAACAAGAAATTCCGCTTCCTGTAACTATGACCAAAGAGTCACGACAGTGCCGCAAATCGTCAGATTGATGTGAAACCCGTAATGCGAAAACAGGACAGGATTACAGCTGCTATTCCACCTGATTTATTGCTGTTTTGATGATGAATAAAAGACTTCTTGCTTGTTACACTGTGTCATCTCATTCAATTTGTGTCCTAACATTTGTCATCTCCTAGTATATTTCTAATCTAGGCATCTTGTTTTTTAGGGCCCTTCTTGTTTTTTTTTTCGCCCTCTCGCATTAGATTTAGGGTCTCCAAAGGACGTCATCCATAAAATTTACTTGGTGTGGCCTAATACTATATAGCTAAATTTTCCCCGGCACATGCACGGTTATCACAAGAATGTCCCAGTTTGCGATCATACAACAAATGTGACTGGAACCTAATGAAGATAAAGTTTCCTAGCAGGATTCCAAAATGGCTATCTTTGTACCGAATAATGATGCAGTCTCATTTGTCATAGGCTGTCAAACAAGTTTGAAGAAGAATTTTCAAGCAGTCTGTGACAGAACTAACTACCAACAAGTATCTAAGACAGCTTTTGCTGTAGCGAGACAGCTGATATATACACGGCTATCACAAGAATGCACCCAGTTTGCGATCATGCGATCACAAGAAATGTGATGGACCCTAATGAATATAACATTTCCTAGCAGGATTCCAAAATGGTAGAAGAGAATTTGGGACGGATGATTCTATCGTGGACCTGCATTTTTGTCCCAATCTTTCAAATCAAAACTGACAACCAGCCATGAATGGTACACCTACATGTAACTTGAAAGTAAAAAAGGATTCTAATGTCTAAAAATGAAGTTTCTTTTTCTACAAATTGAAGCATGTTGTAAACAGCAGGCAAATATACTAGCAGTGACACTATTGATTCAAACAGAACCACTAGTATTCCCTATGATTTCATTGTTGTTATTTTGACTGTGAGGGATAATTCATGCAGATTTAACTTCATATTGAAAATACAGCATGCAAAAGAATTGTTACAGGGACACTGTGCCAATGCTTCATGTAGAATCCCTTCAGAAGGTACATATGTACAATCACATCTCTCCATTATAATACCTGGAGTTTTGGGTTGAACACACTAGCCTGGTTACCAAGTTTACCTATCTTAGCTACCAAGGCACTTTCCTTTACTGCAAGTAGGTACAGGAAAGAGCCTCAGTAACTAAAATAGGTAAACTTGGTAAACAGCCTAACAACAGACAGTTCAGTTGTATTTTATTTTAAAGTCATCGTCATTTGGATAAAAATTGGGGCAACTTGAAACAACAGGGTCACTACAAGGTCATCTACTTCTACAGTTACACGTGAACTTGACCTACCTGTTCCGAATCTTCCTGAAAATCCGAGAAGAAAAAAAAAAAGCAATCAACTTGGTGTGATTCGGACACCAGGGTTCACAAGAAGCATGACACACAGGTGACTACAGTGTTCCACGGGTTAACAACACATGCATGGAGAATGTCGTCCACCCACCTATACACCATGCGATCACCCTACTGCTAACATACATCTTTACAAACAGTTTTCTTTTTCTGTGTTGGAGTATCAAAATCTAATCTAGTTAGCAGATATGCAAATATGGTTATCTCTGTTTTGACATGTTGACAAGTTACTTTTCCATAAAGGACAGTTTAAAGAAGGCATAATCATGACTGTGTATCTTTTTTTTTCATGCTGCTTACAGACAGATACAAGGGTAAGACTTTGGAGGTACGTGTCTTTTCAAGGCAGAGGTTTGAAAAGTCTACAGTCTGAAATGGTCAAGTTACATTTATCCAGACGACATGCTAAATATAATATGTCAGAGAGTAACAGGTTCTTCTCTTTAGCAAATTTTGTTTTGAAGAAAGATGGAGAAATTTTGAAACTGTGCTAGAGAAACTGGCTCTGAGTACTTCTCCGTCTACAGCAATGACACTTCTAGATTCTTCAATAAAAGAGTAGGATTTTTAAATTCTTGCTGATACCGAGACTTAGAGGACTACACATGGTGGATAGGTCAGCTGAGAAGGGAGAGGGCAGCATCTGAGCTCCTCCCTGCTTTTTACTTACCCTCAACTTTAGGGGTCGGGGTCTGCCTGAGGCTCTTTTAACAATTTCATGGGTTTTAGGAAAGTAGAACGTAGGTACCGACCCTGTAAGGGTCAGAAGGAGACACACTCACAATACATACTGTGTCAGGGGTGGGGGGGTGGGAGGAGGGTGCAGAGGACTGGTGCCATGCAGGGTGGTACTTCATGCATTACGCTTCATGTTCCGCAGGTCTTTTACATGGTTTGTTTCAAAGTTCACGCAATGTTTGATAACAGAGCCAGAAATCTCTTACGATGATATATCGATATGGCAGAGGGAAAGCTCGGGGAGACAATCTCTAGGACTAGTCGGAAGAAACTGCGAACATATTTTTTTGGTAGCACAGAATTAAACGCTTTTATGCGAAAGCTTTTCAGCACAGTAGCTTGTATAGTCATGAGACATGCAACTGTTTTACAGTTACAATGTATAAAATAGGGATGATAATGATTGATGCAAGACAGAACATGCACCTGCATTGTCTAATGTTCAGCTCATTGTTTTTTAATATCAACACTCTTTATCACAGCAGTAACATTCTGCAGGGCAGACTTCAGGTTTTCTTATAAAAGCCTACTTTTTTTTTTAAATTTTGTGATCCTATATTGTATGTAAAAAAGGGAGCAAGGGCGCTTTAAATGTTGTGACCTTACTTGTGGCATAATACAATTGGTCTGGGCGATACACACTTTCCGTATCATCCCCCCGCACATGTACTTGGACCATTACCAGCACAGTAACACATGCAGGGAGGGAGACGCCATCTACAACACCATGTGACACATGCAGGCAGGACAGAACACACAAGCTGGCCACGACTGTGGCGCTGTACTCACTATACTCACATCGTCAGGCCTGGTGTTGGGGCAAAGTCTGTGCAGGATCTCTTCTATGGTCTGCCGTCTGAAACAAACAAGAAAACAACATAGAATCAGTCTGAGAAAATTTCTGTACGAAATACTTTTATCTGCATACCTGCATTACCTAGTTATGTTTACCGAAGGAAAACATATTGTTTTTGCCCTGTTTCTTCCTCTCCTTCTTCTCCAAACAGTGACCGACCTCTGACCTGACCAATGACATGATTTGTTGACGTCTGTTACCATGGTGACTGGTGTTGGGTTACATAATGTTGCAATTTCATGGTCTGCTCTGCTCCTGTGACCATATACCAGTAGTACATGTATGTGAATGTGTTTGAGTAAGAATTAACAGAGCAGACCAAGTCCGAAGGTAAACATTATGCATTTGCTTTGCAAATGTTACTTCTCTAGTTCTTTTCTACTTCATAGGTGCCGGTGTGTTGCGCCGAAGGGCAGCTGTACTGGCTATACAGATACAGGTAACAAATGCAGCAAATAAAAATCAACATACACCTACATGAATATATGTACCCAAAACATGGACCAGGGATTGGATTTTAGGAGTACATTCATTTCTTTTGCACCCAGAACAGATACAAGTGTAAGTTCATTTCAGCCTGGTTCGAAATGCTCATGTCCCTAGCCTATTAAGTTCCTCGCCCCTGGTACAATGCACACTTAACATTCTTTTGTTGACTACAAGCAACTTGAAGGAAGCACCATTTGGGACCAAATTTCAGGTTGCGTTGAATAAAAAATTTGGGCATAAGTTTTATCTGTATGAAAAAACAACAACAAAGTTTTGACTGAGTACATATATATATTCATCCTTCCCAAAAGTCTTTTCACAGAAGTACATAAATACGAACTCAGGTGAGCAAACCAAACTGGGAAACATCAAACTGAACCCACGCAAGGGCACGTCAACACAACTATTTAGCAGCCCTAGTTAACAAAGGGACCTGTCACTCGCGTGCTCACCCCCCTGATGTAGCCATGGAGCCTGACCCTCACACAATGACCGAGAGAGCGCTGCCTTTCACATGACCTGCCCTGATGGGGAAAAGTGTTCATTGGCCTGCCGTGTGTTCTAATGCAGGGCGGGAGTGCTCCTCTAGTTACAAAGGTTGAAATTCACCTGGAGCACAGTTGATCATGGATATACTCTTAACTTCTGTCCTCTAAAAAATTTTCCTGTGTCCTGATAGATTGTAGTAACACACCTGACAAGTTGGTTTTGGTTTCTACTGCCAAGTAAATCTACATCTGTAAGTTGACATACTACAAGTACAAGTACACCTTTGAATAACAGTAAATGTTCAAGAGGAAGTCATTTGTTACCTGTTGTGTTACTGTTAGCACAGGAATGTCAAGAGGCAGCACACACACAGGGTTGTGTTCCATTGGACAATACACTTTCTGACCACCTCTGACATTATATGTTCAATGAAGTAAACATATAACTGTTGTACAAGGACCAAGTTACCTGTTCCTGTCTTTTCTAATAGTATCTTTAAAAACACTTCAGTACATGATTATGGACTTTATAGACCAGTCATTTTTGACAGGTGGATTCCTTGGAGTTGGGGTCTTTGAATTCCAACGTGTGATGTCGTGTGATCTGATGAAACGTTACCTACAGTGCTACACAGGTCCAGACTCTAGAATCATTGTTGTACATGTACAGTGACCAAGTTACCTGTTTCCATCTATTCTGACATTTGAAAAACTTCCCTAGACACCAGTCATGTTAACAGGTGATTTGTTCAGGTATATGAATCCCAACAATGCCGGGTGATCTGAAACATTACCTACACAAGCACGTTGACAAAATGTACTGCGTCTGCGCAAAACCCTGATTTTTCACGGTTTTCATTGGATGTTTGGTCACTGTTGCATCAGCATTTTGCCTGTTGCAGATGACATTTCTTCCAATTTAACATTTTAAAACTACAGACGAGATGTTAACCTTATAGATGCAAATACGACCTTATATGAGACGTTCTGCCGAAGTGATATGCACAATACAGTATGGGGTTTGGCCCTGGTGCAGTACGTTCTTCCAACGTGCTACCTACACAGGTGGAAATTACGCAGGCGTGACTTACTTGGAGACCAGCCCCCCTCCTGGTGGGAGCCCCTCGATTTCCTCGTAGCACAGAACGTGCATGATGTAGGCCAGGTCCACCTCACCAGGCTCACTCGTGTTCACTATCTCTGCAGGACAAAAAAACATTCAGACATTAGTCTGTTTACAGCTGGATCTTTGAAACCTTTATTGCGGATTCCACACTGCAGAGTAAAGTGGCTACGTTACAATCAGTGCATTTTACATAGTGAGTCATTCTTATTATAGAAGACATAATAGTAGGGTTAAAATGATCATTGCTGGAGACACAACATTCAGAAATTACATATGGGTATGGATGTACATTTACTTAATGAGAATTAAACTGTTCTCTGCGCAATTCAGTAGAAAATTCCGGAGAGTTAATTTCCTTGAGTTGGAGAACAGTTTAACTTTGATTCTCATTATGTATTTTACCAACTCAGATGAACTTTCATTCGTGTACATTTATGCAAAAACAAAAAAAAATGTGTTTTGAGACCACACCAATTTAATTTCTTGGTTAATGGATTTTTCTAGAAAAATAATGGAGCGGGCGGGCGAAAAAAAAATCAAAATAAAAACAGGCCTAGGCATCCTATTATGGCCCAAAATGGTACGATAGGAGACATGAAGTCAACACACCAGGCTGGTTCAAAATTTAAACAATGAATTTTGAACTTTTAATGATACCACTGCAATGATAGATGGGAAAACTGTAACAACTAGGAAGAAAAGGACTTTCCTCAACTGTTGGGGGGCAAAACATGAGCATTTTTCAGTTGATTCAGGACCAGAATCAAATTTTTTTTTTTTTTTTGCAAATCAGAAAAAAATGAAGAGGCGAATCCGAGAACCAACAATTAAATTGGTGTGGCCTTATTATAGAAGACATAATAGTAGGGTTAAAACTATCACTACTGGAGACACAACATTCAGAAATTACATATGGGTATGGACAGCCAGTGATGTACATTTATTTAATGAGAATTAAACTGTTCTCTGAGCAATTCAGTAGAAAATTCCGGAGAGTTAATTTCCTTGAGTTGGAGAACAGTTTAACTTTGATTCTCATTATGTATTTTACTAACTCAGATGAACTTTCATTCGTGTACATTTATGCAAAAACAAAAAAAATATTTTTTAATCATACATTTGTTACATCACTAACTTTAAATTATCAAGTTATCAACAGCATTTTAGACAGTTCTTGAGACTGTGAAGTTTGTACCAAGGTTTTGCTGGGATTAACCTTAATATCTTACTTTATCTTTAGCTTGAGTAAAATTTCCTCGTGTACACTGTAATACTACATTGATCTTTCACGTATAACTTACAAGTTGGTTGTGAAAAAGGAAACTTTAATAACAGTCTGTGTGCACTTCTTGGCTTGGAATGTTGTGCTGACCTTGAACTTAAAGCCAGCCCAGGTTGTCAACAACATGAAACCTAACAAGTGCAGTCATGCTTCACAAACAGAAACAGTCCTGAAACCCAACCTGTGCACTCCATATGCCATTTACAGCATGAGCTACATTCTTCACTAAAACCATCATGACCTACTCCAGGAGTCGAAATACCCCTCCGTGTGCAAGTGGGTGCAGGTAAAATTGGTGCTGTGCGACTAAATTTTTACCAGTATGCGCCGGCTCAAGTAAGCTTATCCCATAAAAATACCCAATAAAGAACTGAAAAGGTAACAAACCCAGGACCCAGGGAGTTTTTCTTCATTTTTTATAATCAACAGAAAGTTACTATCTAAGTCACTGCCATGGTTAGTAGTTTATCCCCATGACACTGTAAGCAAATATTGGATACTATAGTTACCACACATTGGTTTGGTTGTGTACCTTTTATTTTTGGGGGGTGCAACTAATTTTTTGGGTGCAACTAATTTTTTTTTCAACTGCACCATTTCAACAGCATGAAAGTTCATCTGAGTTGGTAAATTACATTATGAAAAACTTAAACTTTTCTCCAACTCAAAATTTGACTCACCAGAAATTTTCGACCGAATCACTCAGTCTTCCTCAGCTATCTGACCCAAATGCTGTGGACACGTGATTCTTCCCACGTGTGACGTCAGCAAAGGGTCAAAAGGTTGTCTGAAGTCGATATCGCCCCCCGTCCCGGTTGACTTCAGACAACCTTTGACC